GAAGAAAGCCATTGTTGAGAGCCATAAAAAGTCCCATTTGCAGTTTGCGAGAAGCCATGTGGGGGACACGGCAAACGTGGAAGAAGGTACTGTGGTCAGATGAGACCAAAATTTTACTTTTTGGCCTAAAAGCAAAATGCTATGTGTGGCAAACTAACCATGAAGGTAAAAAAACCTCCTTTGTGCAGCAGCCCCCCCCCCCCCCCAATACTCATTTAAGTCCCCTCTCTATCCAGCCATGTGCACAGAAGTCTCTGCAATCTCTATAACTCTGTCTCTGCAACTCCCTCTCCTCATTGGCTGAGACTGTCAATCACAGCCAGTGAGACAATGAGAAGAGAGAGGGAGCGAGGCCAAGCCACAGCTCCGTGTGTGAATGGACACACGGAACAGTGGGTGCCCCCATAGCAAGCTGCTTGATTTGGGGGCATCTGACAGGAGGGAGGGGCCAGGAGCGCCAGCAGAGAACCCAAGAAGAGTATCTTGGCTGGTCTATGCAAAACTACTGCAGAGAGCATGCAAGTATGACGTGTTTGTTGTGTGTGGTGTGTTTTTTTTTTTTTTTTTTTTGTTTTTTGTTTTTTTTTTTTTGTTTATTTTAGCCATTAATATCACTTTTAAAGCAACAGCTTCGGTCAGGAAGACAGATCCCCTATTTGTTCTGTCCTCAGGACCTCTCAAAGGACACACTACTCGCAAGTCCACCATTGCTCAATCTATAAGAAATCTGATTGCTAGAGCTTCCACTGTCGAGGACAAATCTCCTGCGCTTTTATGCACCTATTCTAGCAGATTGTTTTGAGTTCCCGGCACCAGGCCTCTGTAGCCCAGCTTTTTAAGGCCACCACCTGGTCTGCTGTTTACACCTTTTCAACGTTCTACAAGGTGGATGCCTAATCTTCTGTGGATGCAGCTTTTGGCCACAAGGTTCTTGCAGAGGCAGTCTAAAGTTGGGTCTTTTGAGTCTTGTTATACTTATATTGGGGTCTATGAATACTTTACCTATGCCCTGTACTGTACAATTAAGACCAAAGGAATTTTGACTTACCTGTAAACGCCATATCTTGGGAGTACAGTAAAAAAACATGGGCCACCCTCCCTTCCATTCCTTGGTTACTCTGCTTTGCTTGCTACAAAATTCAGAGTTGGGGAGAGTTATAGGGGAGCTTTGCCACTGTCCAGTTACCTGAAGGTACAAGCCTATAACTTGAGGCCTATGAAGATACAGCATTTACAAGCAAGTAAAATTTTTATTTTAACCCCTTTGCGCCGGCGCCTTCCGCCCCCTTATGGGTTTCAGAAGCCGAGAGGCAAGGCGGGGTTTAAGGTCATGTGACTGCCGTGACACGCCGTTACGGCGGGCACATGATCGGGAAAGATCCCAATCGAAAGAGGAGATCTGGACCTTTCAGTGAGTACCGGATGTGTGCTGGGAGCTCGCAGGGCGCGCGCTCCCAGCACATGTTCTTTTTTAATAGAACGCAAATGTGCGGCCACTCGGCATCTAGGCCCAAACGCCGGGGGGCCGCACATTTGCGTAAGGCCGGCGTGAAGAGGTTAAATTTCAAAACAACTTTTTTTCTTCAGTCAAGATTCTTTGTTATCCTGCTGATCTGGTACTTGATATGCAGCTATTCAGAGCAGTTGATCCTCGCACCTTACAGGCTGTAACCAGACCTGGTTAGTCTGAGGATTGCAGAACTACCCTGTAATGTGACTTTTAGCACTTTGCTCTGCTCTCCAGACACTTAGGGGTTTATTTACTAAAGTGGAGAGTCCAAAATCAAACTCCCTTCTGCATAGAAACCAATCAGCTTCCAGGTTTCATTGCCAAAGCTTCATTGAACAAGCTGAGGTTAGAAGCTGATTGGATTCTATGCAGAAGGGAGTCTGATTTTGGACTCTCCAGCTTTAGTAAATAAACCCCTTAGTGTTCTGGCTTGTAAGCTGCAGAATGCTTTGCGGGTTCAGGGCTGTGATACAGCTTCTGGGTCTCCTGATCTCTGAAGCATCCGTGTGAAGTGTGGCTATGATTTTGGCAAGGATTGCCTAGAGTGTGACCTTTGCTGTGCTCTGAATGGGCACTCCTCAGTACTTGGTTACTGTGCTTGTTAGCTGCAAACTGCTTTCCGTGGTAAGTCTGCAGCTTGTCTCCTTATGCACATGGCATGTTATCAGTTTTATCCTGTTATCACCTGCATGAGGTAACACACCAGAGAATTGAGTGCTTTTTCGCTCACAGCCATGCCATACATACACACACACAACACTGCCTATTCCTGTCTTTCAAAGTGAGATATTTTCCTGCTACTTTCATTGTTAGGGGTGCAAAGGATGTGGTTCCGCTGGCCTCTCCAACTCACAATCCTCTAGCAGTTTCTTTTGGCCTGCAGCATTCCTCCCAGAATATCTGACACTGACAACTTGAATCATTGTTGCTTTCTTGAGTCCCCACTCCTCAGAGTCTTCCTTAGCTCCCTAGGACGTGGTTCCCTCCTCTGCTGTATCCAGAGTTGAGTGTTCTTCATCTGTGCAGGATTTCTTGACCAAAATATCTGCCATGATAGTCAGCTCAGAACTCAGGGGCCTCAAACATAAGTTATCTGGCAATATGCAGGGGGCTTTCTTGCTAAAAAAAAAAAAAAAAAAAAAAAAATGGTCTGCGGAATAACAGTATGTAAAGTGATGCTCTGTATGCCCTTCAATGGAGAAGGTGTCTTTGAGGCTACCCTTTATCAAAGGAAGTCACTGGCGGTAAAAGTACATTTTTACAAATGAAACCTAAACCCCATCCTGCTATTTCTACTTCTCAAGACTAGGCAAGTTCCTTTCAAATCTAGGACCCAGTTCAGTTGTAAATCCTGGGCTCCTAAGTCTTCCTTGCAAAGAGGGGAGGCCTCCACATTCCGAAGTGGGGGGAGATCTTTTGTGGACACTTGGATCAATAGAATTTCCAGTGATTGGGTACAGGATGTGGCATCTAAAAGCTACAAGCTAGAGTTTCAATCTTGCCGCCTCCTTGCTTTCTGTTATTACATTTTCCAACTTTCAGCTTGGTAGAATTTCTAGGTCAAGGAGTCATCACCATTTTTCCTCAACCTGAAAGGTTTTGGGTTTTAACCTGTTCGCTGTTCCAAAACCCAAAAGGGGGGCATCCGCCCTTTCCTGGATCTCAAGGCACTTGGTGTTTTCATTTGAGTGAAAACATTTCACATGAAATCTATCAGGTCAGTCAGTCTGCCCTCTGGAAATCAAGGGTGCATAATTTCATTGCCCCATCTTTGCAGCATATTAACACGTTCTGCATTTCTCTATGGTTACGCAACACTACCCGTTTGAGGTCTGTCATTAAGTGATTCTGAAGGCATAAATTAAAAAAAGAAAACATTGTTTTATTTACCTGCTCTCTGCAGTGGTTTTGCACAGAGCAGCCCGGATCCTCCTCCGGTGCTCATGGCCCCTACCCTCCTGTCAGGTGCCCACACAGTAAGCAGCTTGCTATGGGGGCACTTGAGCATGCGCATTCTCCAGCCACTTCTCCGTGTGTCCATTCACACATGGAGCAGCCGCCTCAGCCCTGCCTCCTCTCTTTTCTCATTGGCTCTCTGGCTGTGATTGACAGCCAGATGGTAAAAAAACCTTCCGCCTTTACAACCACTTTAAGTCACTATTCCACTGAGTGTCCACTAAAATCCTAGCTCAGGTACCTGCTTTCTTGCACAAACAATGTATTCCCATTGTGGAGTACCTGGATGATCTCTTGCTAAGAGTACACTTAGCAGAGACCTTTTCAGAAAATGTCAGCCAAACTCTGCAGAACCTACAAAGGTTTGACAGGACCCTGAACCTTCAAAGGTTGATGCTGGAACTGACACGTTGCTTGAAATATCAGTTGCTAATCCTGGATATGGCTCATTCAAGAGTTGTCCTTCAAGAGAAATTGCCACATCCCAGGAACAGTGCCACCTTTTTTTTCTTTTGATGGTAGCCTTTTTCAAGGCAGTCCTGTTTGCCCTGTTGCACTCCAGATCATTGCAACCCAACATTCTGATTTTGTGGAGCAAAAAGGTACAGTTCATGGACCTATCAATGCACCTGACACCTAGGATGTCACCAGCTCAGTCCTGGAATTGTCAAAATATATTTTCTACTCACCTGGAAGACCCTCCTAATGGATGCCAGCCTGATAGGCTGGAGATGTGTCCTGTGCTCCCTACAATGCAGGACACTTGGTTGCCAGCGACAGCTTATGGTTGGTTTACTAAAGGTGAAGATACTGTGCACTGCAAATGCAGTTGTTCTAAAATGAGGGAAAGCTCTGCTGATTTTTATCATCCAAAAACCATCAAGGGTAATAGATTACCCCAAAAGGAGATTTCTAAAGGGACCATGCAGATTAGTAAATAATGGCTTTATTAAAAATATAGTAACAACAATTGTTTATACACAAAGATGAGCTAAAACCACTATCCACCACCACAATAAAGTTAAAAAAGAGAATGTTGTCTTGTCACCCAGATATCAAAAATATTAAAAATAAAAAAAAAAAAAGTCCCCTGGTGACACATTTTGCAGAATGCCATGATGGAAATCCAAATGACCTAAATGTGAAGAGGTTCTTTTCACAAAAATGAGGGGACTTTAACCGCCTCCCGCCCGCCATATAAGGAAATGACAGGCGCAAGGCGGTTTTCCTCGTTCTGAGAGGATGTCACGTGATGTTTTCCCACTCTAGCCGCGAGGAGCGCGCAGCGCAGCTATCGGTGGTGCGCTGTGTCTTTTGGACACAGCGGATCACCGATCAACGGAAAAAGCCAGAGACATCGGCTGGGTCATGTGATCAGCTGTGTCCAATCACAACTGATCGCATGTAAATAGGGAAATGCCGGTTATTGGCATTTCTCTGCTCACTGACAGCTCGTGAGGAGAGGAGAGCCGGTAATCTGCATTCCTCAGAGGGGATTTGTACACTGATCATCAGGGCACTGATCATCAGGGCACTGATGATCAGTGTGCCCTGATAAGTGGAGCCCCAGCACTGCCACCTATCAGTGCTCATCAATGCCACCTGCCAGTGCCCATCAGTGCCTACCAGTTCACATCCATGCCACATATCAGTGCCCTTCTGTGCTGAATTTCAGTGCTGCCTATCAGTGCCATATGAGTGCTGCCTTTCAGTGCCCACCAGTGCCACCTATCAGTGTCCATCACTGCAGCCTCATTAGCGCACATCAGTGAAGGAAAAAAATCACTTTACAAAATTTTATAACTTTTTTTGTGTTTTTTTTTTTTTTTTTTTCAAAATTTTCAGTTGTGTTTGGTTTGTTTAGCAAAAAATAAAAAACCCCAGAGGTGATTAAATACCATCAAAAGAAAGCTCTATCTGTCTCTAAATAATGTTAAAAATGTCATATGGGTACAGTGTTGCAGGACCACACAATTGTCATTCAAAGTGCGACAGCGCTGAAAGCTGAAAATTGGCCTTGGCAGGAAGGGGGTATAAGTGCCTTGTAGGCAAGTGGTTAATACAGTCGTCCTGCAGAAAGAGAAGATGTGGATTTTCAAACTTGAATGTAGAATTTAATGTACAAGTTTTCCTTGAACCTTAAATTCTTATGGAGATACCAAGGAACTGGACTAACCCTCCTGTAAGCTAAATCTGTAGACTGGGAATTTATCTCTAATTTCTCTCTTTTTATCTTGTATATATCTTTCTTGGTTTTGGTTTTTCAGTTATATTTTTTACCCCCGGTCAAAACATCTATTGCTTTATGAAATACATACTGGTCCCCTTAGCAGAAGATATAAGATCATATATATTTTCTATTTATGAAGCTGCAATAGATGATTTCAAATTGTGCAGCTTGGTTCTTTCCTTGGCCCAACACACTGTGTAGTGACTAGTGTGAGGGTATGTATTAGGCGGATGTATGACATCTTGTGGTTAAATGTGTTATTTACAGTCCACAGGGTGTAAATACATTGGATAGACTGGCCTTGCTTTTCCCTGAAGAAGCCCAAACCCATTGGGCGAAACATAGGATTCCACGTCCTCACATATGTGATGTCACCACGCACAGCAGCTGCTTCGCTTAGACCATCAATCGTCTCATAGGCTAATATGCCACCCAAGCCTCATATGCTACTCTGGACAATCCATATATCCTTGCGATTTGGAGATCCTACCAGCGGGAATCGCTGCATTTCGCTATCTGGCGAGTGGTGAAATGACTGCAACTCTGCAGAGTACTGCTGACGTAGTGTATGAACACACACATTTTAGAAGGCTGTGTGAGCTGAGGTCTATGACCAGTTTTATATTGGTGGTTTTAAAGCCCTATTATGCTTTACATTGGATGCAAATTGAGGGGTTTGGTACATGGTGACTTTTGTGGGACATTCAATTTCTTTAATACCGTCCTGTACCCGGATTGCTGTCCATTTTAACAAACTACCTGGACATCTATAGGATTATTTTAGGCCGCTCTATATACATCTAGGAGATATTCAGGACTGCAATTGTCCCATATGTTGATTATCAATGATGTGCCTTGTATTATCCCTACAAAAGGGATCCACTTTTGGAGGGTGCATTACAGTGGAACACACACACCTACACCTCTACCTCTATTGCCTTCTTAGGCCTCTTGTGGTCCAGCTATTAACTATTAAGGGTATATCACACCATCTTTCATAAATTAACGTTGTCTGAGTGAGCAGCTGCTTTGATGACAAGACAATGTTGACTTTAACTTTTAGTGTGTGGTGGGGGACAGTGGTTTTAGCTCATCTTTGTATATAAACAATTTTTGTTACTATATTTTGAATAAAGCCATTCTTTACTAAGCTGCATGGTCCCTTTAGAAATCTCCTTTTGGGGTAAACTATTGCTCCTGATTGTTTTAGGTTCTATTGATGAGTTTCAGTGACTACACCAATTTATTCTAGGGTGGAGTCAGCAGTAGCTTGACTTTTGGTATGATTGCAGCTATATATGCATCTACCAATTTTTTTGATACTGACTATAGAGACCCCTGGATCATTTTTTTTTATTACGCCTTTTTTAACCTTGATTTCTATCATCCAATCATTTGGCAGCAAAAATGCTGTGGTGTTTTTTTTTTATTTTTCTTCCATTTGATTGGGTATTCTTTGCAAAGTGAAGCTTTACCACATTTGCGAAGCTCTAAAGCAAATGCACTTGCAGTGCACAATACGTTTGTCTTTAGTAAATGAACCGTCTTGTCTACCATCAACACACTAGAGCTCAGAGCAATACATATGTCTCTTCACCGCTGGACATCTTGACTGCAGGGCCACCTAATAAGGATTCAGTTGCACAATACCACACAGTGGTATACCATCTGAGGTGAACCAAAGATCTTGGTGTGGAAAGAGGAGTGGAACAGACTGTGTCCTGGGCAGAATGTCATGTTCCAGCCTTGACCACTGTCCACAGTCAGGCATGAACTATTGGCAAGTGAATTTACCTTGGCTGTCAGCACATGGACTCAGAGGTGGTCTCTTCTCCCCGAGGTGTTTCAGGACTTGTCTCAGGTAGGTAACCCTGGATATGGATCTTCAGATTCAACAACAAACTGCTTGGGTTTGTTTCCAGTCATCGGTACAGCCTGATCTATGCCTTCCCTGCTCTGAATCTCCTTACTTGTCTGGTCCACATGATTGAGATGGAAGGTATTCCAGTGATTCTTAATGCACTGAACTGGCCCATGAGGACACTGTATTACAACCTCTTCAGGCTCCTAGCAGACACCTTGTGGGCTCTTCCAGATTCCCAGGATCTTCTGTCCCAAGGGCCAGTTTATCACTCTGCTTCACAGGTGCTAGCTTTGACAGTTTAGCTATTGAATCCCAAGTCGCAGGAGATAAGGGTCTTTTGGACTCTGTTATTCCTACATACCTAAAAGCTTCGAAGTCCACATCTAAAGTCTACCACCACACATTGAAGGTTTATATTGCCTGATGTGAAGCAAGGAAATATCACAGGAAATACTCCATGGGACAGAACTTGACTTATCTACAATCTGAACTGGATCAACACCTGGCTTTGAGCACCTTCAACAGACAAGTCTTTTGTACAAGATGTAGTTTACTTCGTCCCACCTGTACACCCTCCAGTGACATGGTGGGATTTCAGTTTAAATATTTTGGCTCTTCAAAGACTTACTCCTTTTTGAACATATTAGAGAGATTCCCATGTCTACTCTCTCGTAAAGTGGCTTTCTTCAACCCTCTTAGACAAGTGTCTAAGTTGGATGCCATATCTTGTGAAGATCCCTTTTTTTGATTCTTCACAAGGACAAGGTTTCTAACCCCCACCTTAGCCTGGGCATCGTTATTCCACCTCTTTACTCCTAGGGCATCCTAAGGCATATTGCCTCCATTTCCTGGATGTGGTAAGGGCTATCCATGTCTGTCTCCCAGCTACATCTTCTTTCAGGCAACTGATTCTCCCTTTTATCATCCTGGAAGGTCCTTGCAAGGGGCAACGTGCTTCCCATTCCATCAATCCTTGTCGGATCAGACACATTGTTCAAGCCTAGTGGCTTAAGGATAAGGTACTACCCTTTCCATCTTTCCATTTGAAATGCAATCTATCGAATCTGTGAGTTCATCCTGGGTCTAGGCCAGGGGTGGGCGAACATTTTGACTTGAGGGCCGCAATGGGTTCATATATTGGACCCGGGGGCCGGACCAAGAGTAGATGAATGATGTGTAAGTGTCATCCATAGTAAGTATAGTAATATTCCCCCATAGTAAGCATAGTAATTCATCCCCCATATTTCATCCCCCATAGTACTATTCCCCCCCAAGTAGTAAGCCAAGTCCCCCCTGTGTCAATTCATTACCTTTTCCCCGCGCGTTCCTTCGCTGTGTTCATTCCCCAGGGCGGACTAGAGGAGCCTACTCCCCTCACGTTCGTCCCCCCCGCCTACAGTATCCTAAGCCAAGTCCCCCCCGGATGTCCGCCGGGCCGTATACGGCCCGCAATTTGCACTTACCTTTTCTCCCAGCGCAGTTTGCCTCTCGCCGTTCTAATGTTTTACCGCGATGTAAGTTTCCCTGGTATTTCTGTACCACCTCAGGTTACTGGTGTTTGTTTTTTTTTTTTTGTTTTCTGGGGTGGGCTGTTAGTGTTCTGTTGCTATTTTGCCCTCTAAATGTTCTAAGCAAATGGCTGGATAAAGGAAAATGGTTGTGAGGTTTGCTTTTATAATGTGGGAAGCTACTAAGCAAAACTAATTACCAGATTCCTTGTTTTCCTGCCTCGGAAACCTGACTGATTTTGGTGGGCAGCAGCTTCAATATGCTTCCAGTTTTCGGAAGTACAGATACAGTCTTGATTTCTTGTCATTGCACAGTAGTACTCAAATTATTTTCCATGTTTCCCACAAGTCTACCCTTAAATACATTTCTTCCTTTAATAGTTTATAAAAACACATTCTATGTGGCCCAGCTTGATGGCCTGGGTTACTGGCTGATAGGAATGTGCAAGAGACAGAAGAAAGGAATTATTTTTTGGCAGTACTATCTGTGAATACTAAAGCTTGGCCTGTCAGGCTCAGCATTCAAAAAAGCACAGTGATGGAGGCAGATGCAGGTATAGTCACCGGTCGTCATCTTCTTCTTTTTTTTTTTTTAATTCTCTTTTCTTAGTGATCAGAGGCAATGTTGGGTAGAAATCCATCAACTATTTTTTAGACAAATTTTGCGTGCCCTACGCATCCTATAAAATGTATGAAAATTGAAACAGGTTGAATTACAATATTTTGATCATTGGTAAAGATATGTGTACAAATATTTGTTTCTTCCTCAAATAGACAGAGCATCAAGCATCAAGCATTGGTAGAAAGCCAAGTAAAGCATCATGACATTGTGAGCAGCTTGTGTGATGACATTCTGGTATCCTTCCAATCATGCTTGCAAATAGCAGAACATATGCAGGTCACTGGAATACAGGTAACACATGACTAAATTGTTTGTTTTTCCAAAAGTTTCATAGCTCTCTTAATGATGGGACTATTGGTGATGATCATAGTTCTATTTTTACATTTTTTTTGCAATGCTTTTGGTGTAAAAACAAAAGCGCAACTTGTCAGACGAGTACAATCAAATACTGGAAGAAAGTACATAATCATAATTCATAATCAACCTGTTAAATAAAGTTTTGCACACCATGCTCTCACAACAGACAT